AATTCTTTTGTTATAAATAAAGCCCTTCTCCTCCTTAGTTGATCATCCCACAAATATAAAGCCTTCTTCTATTTTAAAGGCTATTTGTATTCTTTCTCTCTTTGTAATATTTCCTCTATTAGTGAAATATTTTGGTGTTCTCTTTTATGTCTATTTAATAGCTATTGTCGGGTATAGTTGTTGTCAATTATTGTCCTATTAAAATTACTTGTCTTGGTAGTTCTGTCTAAGGAAAGTGGGTTTTAAGAGGGACCATTGTGACCCCTCCTCTTTCCTGGGAATCTACCTTGGGGTGATTTTTAGTACAATCGTTTTCACACTAGTCACCTAGATAATAGTTTTCAAGGTGAATCTGTTATTGGTGGAAATTAACCCGAATTTCACAACAATTGGTATCAGAGCTCTTGGTTTATTTTAGTATGCTCTGTGGTTGCGGCTTAGGCTGATCTTCCACATCAGAAAAATTTCCTTGGGATAATTGACATTCTGCATTGGCAGCTATTAAATAGAATTTGTAGCAGAAATGGCAGACGCTTCTTCATCTTCAATTTTGGCAAGAAATGCTGTGACAAATGTTAGATTTGCAGTGGAGATTTTTGATGGCACCGGTCATTTCGGCATGTGGCAAAGCGAGGTTCTAGATGCCCTATTTCAGCAGGGTCTAGACATTGCTATTGAAGGAGAGAAACCAGATGATGTTGAGGAGAAAGAATGGAAGAGGATCAATAGAATGGCATGTGGTACTATTCGATCGTGTCTTTCTAGAGAGCAGAAGTATGCATTTTCTAAGGAAACTTCTGCAAGTAAATTGTGGAAGGCACTGGAGGAGAAATTTTTGAAGAAAAGCGGTCAGAACAAACTCTACATGAAAAAGAGACTGTTCCGCTTCAACTATGTACCAGGTACCACTATGAATGATCACATTACTAGCTTTAATCAGCTGGTGACTGATCTGATGAATATGGACGTGACTTTTGAAGACGAAGATCTGGCTCTGATGTTGATGGGATCACTTCCTGATGAGTTTGAGTATCTTGAAACTACTCTACTTCATGGGAAGGTTGATGTGTCTCTCAGTGAAGTAACTGCTGCCTTGTATAGTTATGAATTGAGAAAGAAAGACAAACAAGAAAACACAAGTGTCGAAGCAGAAGCTCTTGTTGTTAGAGGCCGTTCCAAGAGTCAGAATAAAGGAAGCAGAGGGAGATCGAAGTCAAAGTCCAGATTGAGCAAAGATGAATGTGCTTTTTGTCGAGAAAAAGGGCACTGGAAGAAAGAATGTCCCAAGCTAAAGAATAAAGGCAAACCTGAAAGGGGGAAGGCTGTCTCAGAATCAAATGTGGTCGAGTATGATGATGGAGATTCAGATTTCGCATTCGCTGCTACGCCATCAACCAGCTGTTCCAGTTCATGGCTGTTAGATTCAGCTTGTAGCCACCATATGACCCCCAATAGAGAATGGTTCTTTGATTTTAAAGAACTAAAAGGTGGAATTGTCTACACAGCAAATAATTCCCCTCTTGACACACTTGGGATTGGTTCAATTCGCTTGAGGAATCAGGATGGATCTATCAGAACCTTAACAGGTGTCCATTATGTACCAGATTTAATGAGAAATCTCATCTCTGTGGAACCTTAGAGTCAAAAGGTTTAGAAGTGAGGGCAAAAGATGGGATTATGAGGATTATCTCTGGTGCACTGGTGATAATGAAGGGAGTCCGAAAAAGAAACAATGTGTATTACTTTCTGGGTAGTACAATTGTTGGGACAGCAGCAGTGGCAGCTTCTACTGATGAACAGGAGTCAGAAGCAACCAGGTTATGGCATATGCGCTTGGGGCATGTTGGTGAAAAATCCTTGAAATTACTGATAGATCAAGGATTATTGAAGGGTGCTCGGACTTGCAAATTAGCTTTTTGTGAGCATTGCATCAAAGGGAAGAAGACGAGGGTGAAATTTGGAACAGCAATCCATGATACTAAAGGTATTTTGGATTATGTTCATTCAGATGTATGGGGGCCTTCCAAGACAACTTCATTGGGAGGAACACACTATTATGTCACCTTTGTTGATGATTTTTCCCGGAGAGTTTGGGTGTATCCAATGAAGACAAGGATGAGGTGCTAGGATTTTTCCTTAAATGGAAAAAGATGATGGAGACTCAAACAGGCAGAAAAATCAAACGTCTCCGTACAGACAATGGTGGAGAGTACAAAATGATCCATTTCTGAAAGTCTGTGAAGAGGAAGGTATTGTTAGGCACTTCACTGTCAGAGGTACACCACAACAGAATGGAGTGGCAGAGCGTATGAACCGGACATTAGTGGAGAAGGTTCGGTGTATGTTGTCTAATGCTGGGTTAGGCAAAGAATTTTGGGCTGAGGCTTTGGTCTATGCTTGTCACCTTGTCAACCGCTTACCATCGACTGCTATTGGTGGTAAAACACCATTAGAGAAATGGTTTGGAGTACCTGCTACAGATTATGATTCCTTACATGTGTTTGGTTCCACTGCATACTACCATGTTAAGGAGTCAAAGCTGGATCCAAGAGCAAAGAAGGCGATTTTTATGGGGATCACCTCTGGTGTGAAAGGCTATCGTCTTTGGTGTCCAGAAACAAAGAAATAATCTTCAGCAGGGATGTTACCTTTGATGAATCTACCATGTTGAGAAAGGTGACTTCAGAAAAATTGGAGCAGACAGATGGAACTCCCAAAAAGGTGGAGTTTGAAGGAAGCAAATTTGTCCCAACCAGTAAAGAAAATGATGTTGACTCTCCTATGGTAGAAGAAGAGTCAGATGAAGAAGAGGTTCAGACCCAAGAACCTCCACAGCAACATGAATCAATTGCACTCAGAAAGGGAAAGAGGACCATTAGACAACCTGCTCGTTATGCTGATATGGTCTCTTTTGCATCACCAATTGCAATTGATGACGTTCCTGCCACTTTTAATGAAGCAGTTCAAAGTTCAGAACATAAAAAGTGGAGGATTGCCATGAATGAAGAAATGCAATCCCTTCAAAAGAATCAGACGTGGAAACTAGCTAGTCTTCCGAAGGGAAAGAAGGCAATTGGGTGCAAGTGGGTATATGCAAAGAAAGATGGATTTCCTGACAAGAATAACATCCGCTACAAAGCAAGATTGGTGGCTAAAGGCTACGCTCAAACGGAGGGAGTTGATTATAATGAAGTATTTTCTCCAGTTGTAAAACATTCCTCCATCAGAATTTTGTTGGCTTTGGTAGCGCAGTTGGATTTGGAACTAGTTCAGATGGATGTAAAAACTGCATTTTACATGGAGACTTGGATGAGGAAATCTACATGACTCAGCCAGATGGATTCAAAGTTGCTGAAAAGAAGAGATGGTGTGCAAATTAGAAAAATCGTTGTACGGATTGAAGCAATCTCCAAGGCAGTGGTACAAGCGATTTGACAAGTTTATGATAGGGCAGAAGTACACAAGAAGCAAATATGATCATTGTGTGTATTTACGTGAGCTAGAAGACGGATCCTATATATATCTTCTTCTTTATGTTGATGATATGCTGATAGCTTCCAGGAGTCAGACAGAAATTGCGAAACTAAAGACTCAATTGAACAGGGAGTTTGAGATGAAGGATCTTGGTGAAGCGAAGAAGATTCTAGGCATGGAGATATCAAGGGATAAGAAATTGGGGAGGCTTTGTTTGTCTCAGAAAGAATATCTGAGGAAGGTACTAAAACGTTTTGGCATAAATGAGATGTCAAAACCAGTTAGTACACTCTTGCTCCTCATTTCAAGCTCGGTGCATCCATGTCACCTAAGGATGATGCAGAACGGGAATACATGTCAAAGGTTCCGTATGCAAGTGCTGTTGGTAGCTTGATGTATGCAATGGTGTGTACGAGACCCGATATTTCACAGGCAATTGGGGTTGTGAGCAGGTATATGCATGATCCTGGAAAGGAGCATTGGCAAGCTGTGAAATGGATTCTGCGGTATATTCTAAACACCGTAGATGTTGGTTTGGTCTTTCAGCAGGACAAACAAGATGGTCAGTGTGTAGTTGGGTATTGTGATTCAGACTATGCAGGTGATTTGGACAAGCGTCGATCAACTACTGGTTATGTGTTTACATTTGCAAAGGCACCAGTCAGTTGGAAGTCCACCTTACAGTCAACAGTGGCTTTGTCTACTACAGAGGCAGAGTATATGGCAGTTACAGAGGCTGTGAAGGAGGCAATTTGGCTTCAAGGGTTGCTTGGTGAATTGGGAATGGAACAAAAGCACATCAAAGTGCACTGTGACAGTCAGAGTGCTATTCATTTAGCAAAGAACCAGGTTTACCATGCAAGGACGAAGCACATCGATGTTCGATATCACTTTGTACGAGAGATTCTAGAAGAAGGTGGAGTCATAATCCAGAAGATTCGGACCACTGAGAATCCTGCTGATATGTTGACAAAAGTGGTAACTGCGGTCAAGTTTAAACATTGTTTAGATTTGGTCAATATTGTTACAAATTAAAAGTTTGTTTTTTTTTAGAGATGTGTGTGGAATTTGCCAAGGTGGAGATTTGTTGGTTTTTGGCAAAAGTCCCACATTGGTTGTGTATAAGGAGGAGGGGAAATTCTTTTGTTATAAATAAAGCCCTTCTCCTCCTTAGTTGATCATCCCACAAATATAAGCCTTCTTCTATTTTAAAGGCTATTTGTATTCTTTCTCTCTTTGTAATATTTCCTCTATTAGTGAAATATTTTGGTGTTCTCTTTTATGTCTATTTAATAGCTATTGTCGGGTATAGTTGTTGTCAATTATTGTCCTATTAAAATTACTTGTCTTGGTAGTTCTGTCTAAGGAAAGTGGGTTTTAAGAGGGACCATTGTGACCCCTCCTCTTTCCTGGGAATCTACCTTGGGGTGATTTTTTAGTACAATCGTTTTCACACTAGTCACCTAGATAATAGTTTTCAAGGTGAATCTGTTATTGGTGGAAATTAACCCGAATTTCACAACAGTTCACAGGCCGCCTTCTCCTCCTCCATCGTTGAGATCACCCGAAGAGGTATCATTCCAAGGAAAAGAATAAGGAAGAGCAGCAGGGACCTGATAGAATCCTCCTCCTTCATTGTCAATATTTCTTCTGTTAAATTCATCTAACCTGTTACGGGGAGTGAGCGGTTGAAATGAGCTCGTCCCCGGCGCTTGAGACAAGGATGTTGTGATGTCGTTGCAAGCGTAGCGGATCAAGTCCGCGTTAGCTGCATCAAGTTCTTTCTGGAGCCTTTGGACTTGTCTCTGAAGGAAAGTGATGGCACCAACGCAGCCGTAAATCGGGTCTCTTACTCTCGCCTCATCTTCATAGGCAAGAGAATTCACCGCGTCCTCTCTTTGGTGAGGGAGGAGCTCGTTGAGGAGCTTGGTCACGTTGCTCGCTCCAAAGATCTTGTGAACATTCACAAACTTTTGGGGCTCTTCCGGTGGAAAGTAAGGTGCAAAGATGCAGCCCGGCGTGCATTTCCTCCTCAACAATTTGCAAGCAGCACAGGGTGAATTGTAAGAGCTGGAAGAAGCCATTTTCACTGCTGTCTACAGATCCACAAGAGCCAGTTGTCGTCAGCAGAGATATTTTTAGTTCTTTAACGACGCGATTTTGAAAAGGTTTTGAGAAACTATATCATCATTTACACTTCATCTGCATATTTTTCATGATATTTTCAGTTTTTCCTTTCCTTTTCTTTTTCGTAATTAACTTGGGGGATTGGGATTCAATCTTCGAGAATATATGATCTATAGTTACTAGGGTTTTTCTGAACGTATATTTTGTGTATGATTCAATATCTCTAACAATTTGTTATAGATTGAAAGAAAAGAAAAGGTTTAGGAGAAGAATGTAGACGAAAGAGAGAGTAGGTAGACAAGAAAATGCATCATTCATTTCATAAAGGAAATATTGTTTACACAACAGTTTTATTTTTATACAGGCTGTTACAGGAATCTAACAAATGCCAGCTGGCATTCTTTACTAACATATTGCCTAACAAACTGATTCTTTGTTATCCAAGTACTGGGCCATCCGGTTGGGCTTATCCTCCTTGTTCTGTTTTTAGCCTGCTTCCACCCCTTCTTTTTCCCCTCGTGCTTCATTTCTATCTTTCAATTCAATTCCCAATTCACTTCCCTGAATCCCTAACCCTCGTTCCTCCTCTATCCCCAATTCATGCTCATTCAAATCCCTCTCACTTCCTCGATCTTCCCTTTCTTCTCCAACCACAACAATACCCACCCCACGAGACGAGCCTTGTCCCCAAGGATCAAACGTAGGAAACTGCCCTCGTAAGACCGAATAATCTTCCCAAGTATCATTTGCTTCATCCATATTTTGCCATCGAACCAAAAGTTGAGTGATTGGTTTTCCTTTTCTGTTTACGATTCGTCTCCCAACAACTTTTAAGGGTTTAATTCGAAACTGACCATAATCTTCTATGGCAGGAGGATTTGTTGCAGCACGCGAGGAGTCCCCGATGAATTTCTTCAAGAGACTGACATGAAATACTGGGTGGAGTCTTGATGAGACTGGTAAGTCTAATTTATAAGCAATTTCCCCTATCTTTTCCAATACCTTGTAGGGGCCATAATATTTAGCTGCTAATTTCAAATTTTTTCGCAGGGCAATTGAAGACTGCCTATATGGCTGCAATTTGAGGTAAACCAAATCTCCAACAGAAAAATTTCTTTCTGATCTACCTTTATCTGCTTGCTGCTTCATTCTGTTGCTAGCTAAGTCCAGTTGATTTTTAACCAATTGCCTCATATGTTCTCTGTTATGCATGATTTCACTGACTGAGTGTAGAGTAGTATCTGTAGGCCAAACCATAATAGGTGGTTTGTACCCATATAAAGCCTGAAATGGAGTCAGTTTTAAAGCAGTATGGTAAGTGGTGTTGTACCACCACTCTGCCTGGGGTAACCATTTAGCCCACTGTCTAGGTTGATATAAACAAATACCCCTTAAATACTGTTCCAAGCATTGATTCACCCTTTCTGTTTGTCCATCCGTTTCCGGATGATAAGCAGTGCTGAAAAGGGTCTTAGTACCCAATTGCTTCATCAATTCCTTCCAAAACAAACTTGTAAAGGTCTTGTCTCTATCAGAGATGGCCATTTGAGGTTGACCATGTAATTTATAGACATTGTCTAAGTAGAGTTTAGCTACCTCTACTGCAGAATAAGGATGTGATAGGGGCAGAAAATGACTGTATTTTGTAAACTTATCCACAATAACCAAAATACAGTTTTTCTTAAAAGAAGTAGGCAACCCTTCAATGAAATCCATAGTTATAATCTGCCAAGCTTGATTAGGAACAGGCAGGGGTTGTAGCAACCCAGGTTTTGCTACATGTTCAACCTTAGTTTGCTGGCAAACTTCACAACATCTCACATAAGTAGCAACCATAGATTTTAGGTTTGGCCAATAAAAATTTGCCCTGATTCTGTAATATGTAGCTTGTGCCCCAGAATGTCCCCCTTGAGTCGAATCATGTAGAGATTGTATAATCTTCACTCTGAGGCTCCCATTAGCTCCAACATAAACTCTCCCATCATATCGAAGAACAGCCTTAGAATATTTCCACTTACTGTCAGCAGAAGGAGTAATAGTCAGAATTGAAATCCAATTCTGAGCTAAAGAATACCTTGGTAGCTTTCTTCAATATCTTTAATCCAAGTAGGCACCAAAACTGTCACTCCCATAGCCAAATACTGAGCTTCCTCCTCCCATCTCCTAGATAAAGCATCAGCAGCTACATTCAATTTTCCTTTTCTATACTGAATAGTATAGTCCAATCCCAACAGCTTTGTCAACCTTTTTTTCTGAATAGTGGTAGTCAGTTTCTGTTCTAGAAGAAACTTTAAAGGCTCATGGTCAGTCTTAATCACAAAAGGTTTACTTTCCAAGTAGTGTCTCCATTTAGAAACAACCAAGAGAATAGCTAGATATTCTCTTTCATAGATAGATAAAGCTGAATGTCTAGGACTTAAAGCTTTACTCAAATATGCAATAGGCCTACCTTCTTGTGACAGAACAACCCCCACACCTCCAGAACTAGCATCTGTTTCTAGATAAAAGGGCTTAGAAAAATCTGGTAGAGCTAATACTGGAGCAGAACTCATAGCCCTTTTAAGTTCTTCAAAAGCAGAACAAGCAGCAGAAGTCCATTGAAACCCATCCTTCTTTAACATCTGTGTTAATGGTCTGCTAATAATGCCATAATTCCTTATAAATCTTCTATAATAACCTGTAAACCCCAAAAATCCTCTAAGAGCTTTAAGAGATTTAGGCTTGGGCCAAGTATGCATAGCTTCCACCTTACTAGGGTCTGTAGACACTCCTGCAGCAGAAATAATATGACCCAAATATTCCACCTTAGTCTGCCCAAAAAAACACTTGGACATTTTTGCAAATAATTGATTCACTGCCAAAACTTCCAAAACAAGCTGTAAATGTTCAACATGTTGTTTCATACTGCCACTGTACACTAGAATATCATCAAAGAAAACTAAAACGAATTTTCTAAGAAAAGAACTGAATAATTCATTCATGAGAGATTGAAATGTAGCAGGTGCATTAGTAAGGCCAAAAGGCATTACCTTAAACTCATAATGCCCCTGGTGAGTTCTAAAGGCTGTCTTATAGATATCATCTGGTTGAATTCTGATATGCCAATATCCTGACCTCAAATCAATCTTTGAAAAATAAACTGCCCCATGTAACTCATCCAACAAGTCTTCCACTATAGGAATAGGAAATTTATCTTTGATTGTCAAACTGTTCAGTTTTCTATAATCCACACAAAACCTCCAAGTACCATCCTTCTTTTTAATAAGAAGGCAAGGAGAGGCAAAAGGACTCCTGCTAGGTTGAATAATAGAAGAAGAAAGCATATTAGCTATTTGCTTTTCAACTTCAGTCTTCTGATTGTGAGGAAATCTATAAGGCCTTAGATTAACTGGTGTGGCAGTAGATACCAGTGGAATTGTATGGTCATGTGTCCTTTGAGGAGGTAGTCCTTTAGGTTCAGCAAAAACCTTGTTGTATTTATCCAAGATAGGTTGCAATTCAATAGGAACAGATGAATATTTTGCTGCCATAGTTAATAGGACAATATGGCCCATAACATCAGAATCCCTTGCAGTCATTTTAAGTAATGTAGCGCCTGATATTTGATGTAATTCAGTTGAAGGCTGTTGACCTTGAATACAAATATGTTCTCCTCCATGATCAAAACTTAAGGTCATATTATTGAAATCCATTAAAATTGGACTGAATAATTTCATCCAATCAACTCCCAAGACCATGTCACTTCCCCCCAATTTAAGCAACCTAAAATCATGTAAAAAATTATGGCCCTGCATTTCCCATTGGACCTTGTTACATCTAGCCGAACTGAACACTTGTTGGCCATTAGCCACAGTAATGGCCAAAGGATAAGCAATATTAACTTGTATGCCAGCATCAGCCCATTTAGGAGTCAAGAAACTGTGTGTACTGCCACTGTCAATTAAGATACTCAATGATTTTCCTTGAATAGTACCCTGGATTCTTAATGTATTATGGCCAATGCAGCCAGTAATAGCATTCATAGAGATTTCCAGATTCTCCTCTTCTTGTTGTTGAAACTGCTCTGTCTCAGTAGGACATACTTCTACTAGAGAAGTATCAATTTCCTCAGTAATCATATTTAACTGCTTGGTTTTACACTGATGACCTGGAATGTATTTTTCACCACATTTAAAACAGAGACTATTTTGCCTTCTATAATCAATCAAATTTTGTTTTGGATTTGACATAGAAGTAGGTTTTTTGGCTACTAGTAAGGCATTTTCCTTGTATGTATGTATGGGGTTTGGGTAGGGTGGGACCTTAAAAGAAGGCCTGAATCTTCTACTTTCAAATTCTACTGACAGTTCATATAGCTTGGCTTGTTTACATGCTTCACACAAGCTCTTAGGGTCTAAGGCCTTAACCCTATGCTTAATATCATCTCGGAGTCCACTAATAAAAAGTGGCACAAAAAATTCTTCAGTCAAAGTAGGATTCTGTAAAAGCATATAAGGTTGTAGCTCTTCAAACTTCTCCTGAAAATCCTCCACAGACCCCTTCTGTATCAACTTAGTAAACTCCTCTACAATATCAGAAAATGATCTATCACTAAATCTGTGACAGATATCAGCTTCAAATTCGTGCCAATTGACATGGTGTTTCTGCATTATATACCCATCAAACCATATTTCTGCTTTTCCAGTTAAATACATAGTGGCTACCTCCACTCTCTGTTCCATAGGCACGCTGCAAATAGAAAAATACTTCAAACATTTCTGGATCCACCCTCTAGGATTAACTCCCTCAAAGAAAGGAAGTTCTATTTTTGGTCTGTGCCACATACTTCCTGAACTGTTAAATGAGCCCCCTGTACCCCTTTTTTCAGCTTCCAGTCCCCACATAACAGATCTAGTGTTACTGTTTTCCCCATTTGATTCTAAGGCCGACCACTGTTCTTAAGGGCTAAACAAGCATCAGGC